AATCTCCAAGCTGGCTTGGCTCTCGTGTCCTTGCTCACTTCTTCCTTAGTCTGTCCCTGCACTTACTTGGTTTTGTACTCCTCCACGTATTGCCGCATGTTCTGCAGCTCTGACTCCAGCTGTCCCCTCTGTCCCAGGAGAGACTCTAGCTTCCTCCTCAGGTTCTGGATGTAATTTTCAAAGATGACATCAAGGTTCTTCCTTGGCCCCGAAGGTCCTTGCTGTTGGAGGAGCTCCCACTTGGTGGAGAGGACCTTGTTCTGTTGCTCCAGGAAGCGGACCTGAAAGCCCACAAGGGAGTGTGTGAGATATTCACCCGGGGAGACACCACACTACTCAAACCTCCTGCTTATTTGGGAGGCCAAGGGAATCATTTCCCAAATCCCCAAAAGAACTGTGGCTAGCTGAAAGCCAGTTTTCCAAGAGGAAGATTCCTCCCTTCTTTCTTCTCTTTTTTCAATTATCCTTGAATTTCTCCTCTTCTCTCCTCCTATGTTCCTGCTCTTTTTTTGTTATCTATTGGAGTGATTGCATTCCAGATTTACAGATTATTGTCATTTCCAATTGCAAATCTTGACCCACAGTAATTTGCAGAAGCATCAGATCCTTTTTTACCTTTCAGTGAATGAAACCCCTCAACATGTCTCAATATCGGAGAACATTCCTCTTAACAGATACAAAAAGTATTCAATACCTATGTCATATATTTAAAAAACTATGAAGCATGTTTATGACCAATGTTGTCCCAGTGCAGACAGTCTAAAGAATACTCATCTGTACTTGAACTGAAATACGGAACAGCCAGGAATTAATTGAAAGCTCATTCCTACATTCTAAGTTCCTCGAGAAGAAACTATCCTTGAAAAAGGACAGACTTAAAGAACCGCTTAGGATAACTGCGTATATCATGGTCACTTTGGCCTGACTGCACAGGGAACACTAGAGAGAAAAGCTAAGGAAAAATTTGGATCAACCAAGCCTAGAGAAAGTCCCTTGGTTTCTCTGCGAATGTAAAATTTTTATATTTCCTTAGGAGGACTCAATGAAAACTCTACGAGCCTTCTAGACCTGCTAACTAACACTGAGCTGGGAAGGACAGTATTTCCCTCTCCACAGCACAAGAAAGTTCCTCAGAGTCCCCATTCCCAAGCAGATACAGTTCCAGCCTCTCACCTTGTCAATGAAAGAGGCAAACTGATTGTTAAGAGTCTTGATCTGTTCCTTCTCCTGGCACTTCACTTGTTGGATCTGAGGATCAATGTCAACATGGACCGGCCGCAGGAGGGTTGGGTCAACCTGCACCGGTTGGATGCCTCCAGGGAACCCAGGACCACCTCTCACAGGACCACCAAAGCTGCCTATTCCTCCACCAATGACACCTCCTCCAATGCTGCCAAATCCTGCTCCATAGCCTCCACCAAAGCCACCAATTCTACATCCGTATCCACCGCCATAAGAGCCACCCATGGAAATTCTTCCGCTGCCACCCATGTTATGGAGGCTCCTGCTGCTAAAACCTCCACAACGTCCGCTGCCTCCAATTCCCCTGGATGTGGAGAACGAGCTATAGCTGATCCTGCTTCTGCCCCCACTTCCTCCAAAGCCACCGCCGATGGCAGAACAAGAGCTGTATCCCCTTTTGCTTCCGCCTCCAAAGCTTCTACAGATTGACTGCCGAGACATGGCTGTTTCTTCCAAGCAGAGTTGAGGAGAGCAGAAAGACCAACGGAGCTGTGCTGCTGAGGGATGAATGCAGAGAGAAGTGTGCACAGTCTTCTCTGGCTCCACGGCTTCAGGCATTCTCTTTTATCTGTTTCTGAGGTGGGCTGGGTCTACAAGGGCGTGAAGAGGAAACAAATTTACTGTCTTCATCAGCTTGGTGCGGTTAACAGATTTTTGCCAAATTGTTGACTCCACCCAGAAATACGCTTTGCAATGCAGAAGAGAATAAAAGAGCAAGAGCATTGAAACAGGTCTCAATGAGTAAGTGGACTCTCCTATCTTTATGGCATCTGGAAAAATATGTTTTACAGTGATGTAGTCATGTTCTTCCCTCCTCCCACCTTTCTATCTGTTCTTAATGATTTCACAGTTTGTCTGGATCTGGATCTTTTGCACTGACTCTCAATGTCAGGCAAGCATTTTGGTGAAAACCAACTAGAATGAGACTTTCACAATTCCCCCAAGCACACCCCAAATCTCCTTCTTAAGTGGAAAATTACTGATGGCTTTCCAAGAGGCCGTTTCCCAGTGTAGAGCAAAAATACCACACATTAACATTTAACAATGGTCAGCATTTCTTTTTTATCTGGATGCCTTCTTCTAGGGCACATTCCTGCAAAATGTGTCTCCCAGAGTCTGAGGTAACCAGGTACCAAGACTCTGAGCACCAGAGCAGAATGAGCAAGAGAACAAGGATGTCCAAGCTCCTTCCTTGTGCTTTTCAGATGGCCACAGGGATTGCCGAACCTGCAGAGGACTGAAAGGACGCTTCAGGCACTAGATGTGGTAATGATGACTGAGGACAAATAGCAGAGACATGCAGGCAGGGATAACAGTGACTTGTTACAATAATTTTTTACTTAAGTTGTTAGGCAAATGATCAGGCTGAGTTCGTCATACTTGATTTTGAAATAAGGGGCAACTAAAAAGCAGAAGAAGTTCTGATGCTTACTTAAGTAATAACAGTTAAAGTATTGCTGCATAAGAAGTGGCTTTAAGAGGTGTGGCATCTTTGCCCACAGTAAATTTGGGTTGGGGGAAAGAAGGGGTGCTGACCAAATTGACTTTAGAAAAATGTATTTTTAAGACAACAGCTGCTGCTTCAAACTAGAAAACAATAATGTTTAATTTCATGCACAAGCTATCTGACTATGAAGTAGGAAGTTCACCTGAAAGAGATACCTTCTGGGTCTCATTAATCAAATATACATTTTAGTTACATATATGAAATTCAAGAAAAAAACACAATATTTTGTGCTTATTTCCTGAAAATCATCAATAAATGTCAAGGGAAATAGATTTTAAAGCCTTCTAAGCATTTCAGCAGTCCAATATTATACTATATTTGAGCATCCACAGTGGAATATACATCTGTGTTTGAATTTTCACAATCACCTATAAGGCTTGTGCAACTAAATGTTGTTTCAAAGTATCGCTGGGTATCAGCCTTCAGCC